AATGGAAAACCATTTCTATGCTGCTTTGTCATACCGTCACTGCCGTACATCTCACATGGATCAAAATCATTTTTTTCTTTATACTAAATGTGTTATTTCATGACACCAGTACTAACCGAGTTTCACCCCACGCCTGTTTGTTCTTTTAAAAGCTCCGCAGCCGTTCATTCGTTTTTGAGTCAACAACAAAATATCTCTGTTTGTTGATCAAGTCGAGCTCCATCGACTAGCATTATATTGGTGAATCGATGTTTCACCAGACTGTGGTGCCTCTTATATATGACCGGCGCTCTCTGGCGAGGCATTTATTACCAGAGAAATAYATATTCATAAATAAAACTTGTCATGGATTTAATTATCTTACTTACCTATGACTGGTTCATTCGTAAGAATTTGATCAGACGTCTTTGGCTTTGAATTTCGCGGGATGCTTTGGACGAGTTGATTTTTTAAAACAAACACCACCCCAATCAAAACTGACAAAAAACAAACCATCTTACTAATAAAACTCGAAGATTATTCGTAAATTTACTAACCAAACGCTAAAACCCTTGAAGTTCAGATTTCAAGATATTCTTGTTAAAATAAAGGAAAAAAGTGAAACAAAACTTCGGATAAATAAACCATTACGGCACCGAATTTTTCATTATGTCAGGAGGTGTCTTTTTGCTTCTTCACCGAAAATAGGACACCTGTAACACGCTCATTTAATTCAATGAATCAAAGTCTCAGTTTACTAAACCAGTGTACCACTTTCACTCAGAAGATCTAAAAATTCTTACCTAAGATATTTTATGACTGATAATTTTTTTTCATTAAAAATCTTCGGCCAAAAATATATTCTTTCGCGATAATTAAAAGTTACATTGCGGACAATTTGATTTTGATCGATATAAAAACCAGCATGTCTAATTATTTCCCTACTAAGAAAATATAAAATAAGAATTTACAAACATTCGTTTTTTAAATCAATATATGGCAATGACACAGTGAGGTTATTATTTTCTTAACTTTCTACTGTTTCTACAATGAAACAATGAGTTCAATACACCGAGCTAGTGATAAAAAAAATCCTTTTTCCAAACAATTGGTTCAACGGATGATTAATTATTTCTAACATGCATTTTAAATAAATGACAAAAGAACTCGAAGTGTTAACAGTTCGAGGGTCCTCACTTTAAAGCTATACATCGAGTTCCTTGAATTTTTTTACGCGTTTCAACCGGAAGTTTTCTTTAGAAAAAGGCAAACTCGAGCGATAGCAAGAACGATGTTACTCAGTCAATTGGTCTTTTCCAGTTAATATATTGAAGTGCCTATCAAGCCTAAACGGGGATCTCTTTTTGAGTTCAAAGCCCTTATAAAATAAATGAGAATGGCCTTTCCTTTTTTTTTTTTTTTTTTTTTTGAAATCTCTTTTCGTTGCCGAGATATTAAATATAGAAATCTATCATGAAGTGATGACGTAAAGCCAGGATCCTTGTAAAAAGTCACATTATCAAATAGAGAATATCTCAGTGAGAATTAGCTCAAAATGCCTTAATATTATGTTTGGTATAGTGCGCTATAACACCCAAACGTTTCAGTCATTTTGAGTTAATTCTTACAGAAGGTGAATGAACCTGGGTTGATGTTATCATCTCGCCAACGAGATATTCAATAAGAGCGTCAACCCAGGATCCTACCCGCTTGTAATAATTGAAAAACAGGTAGTTGCCAATATTTTATTAGCTTATAAAAGGTTCTATGAGTTTAACAAGGTCATCCCCAATCAAATATAATAATAATATGTACATACAAAAAAAATTGATACAGTTTCAGACCTATCTTTGCACAATGGCGGGTCAGAATTGGGAGATCTCCTCTTAGGGGGGAAGCTTGAATGATATATACATTACAAGCCCTGACCCTGATTTCTGATGTTGCTTTACTTAGTMGAGTGTTACGTTACTTAGCAACGGGAGACCGCAGAGTCAATAAGATTCACGTGATCATCACGTGTTGTTTCACGTGTTCAGTTGATGACAATCGTCGTAGTTTGTTTACTAAACAAGTCAAGATTGACTTTACTTTGGATTGCTGGGATAGAGTTCATGATATACACGTGGTTGTATCACGTGGTCGTAACACGTGTTGTATCACGTGCTTAGTTGATGACAATCGTTGTAGTTTGTTTACTAAACAAGTCAAGAGTGACGTTACTAAGGAATGCTGGAATGGAGTTCATTCTTCTTAGGTAAGTCTCGATGTGGTCTCGGACCTGAGACGAGAAGTCCGTCTCTAATAACATCATCTCTCCTTTGCTATTGCTCTGCATGAGTAAAGAATGAAAACAAGTGAGAATGAAATGAGAATAGAATGGGATAAGCGAAATATAGGAACGTTTGTCCCATAAGTAAAGTATTTACATCTTAGTTTCGGTAAAATTGCAGAGTGAGAATTTTACATCATAAAACTGCAGCGAAGAGGGAAAAAGCAAAGGATCGCAAAAGATTGAATTTAAAGTGTGCGACGTCTTGTGTCGGTGAGTGCTGCTTTAGTCATGAATACAAAATGGTGGATATTCCAGTAGACGTAGATCTAACAGACCGCCTAGCGAATCTATTGGATTAAGATTACTATAAGGAATGTAATGTAGAATAGAACTCATAAGCCGACAGGTAAACAAGGATTACATCTATGCAATAATATCGATATATCAGGCATTGTGTACCTAGAGAAATTTCAATTTGTCAAAGCAAGGCGTTGAACAAGAGAAACACTTGTATACGAAGAGATATCAACTGCAAGGGAAGTGTCCTTCGAGGTAGTGAAAGTTCATCCCAAGAAAAAGCTATTAAGGGCTGCACATTTTTGCTCACAACGTCATCGTCAACTTCAGGAAATTTGCGCGCAAAACGAATTCACGTTTGCAACGTTGGAAGTTTATTGGTGAGATGTCCTCAGGTCTGAGGAGTGTCTCAGATCACGTGTACATCTGTCGACTTCTTTAGTGTACTACTAAAGTACTTTTTTCGTACTTTTGTAGCAAGAAAACTTTAAAACTCTTCTGCGCACGACGTTACAAATGCCGCAAACAACAGTTTCACCGTGCGCCCGTGTCAAAGAGGGATTCAGCTATTTCGAACCAGGAGGCAGTAGCTACAAAAGGGTCGGTAAATGTATTACATTCATATTTAAATAATTTCAGCACAGAAGTTAATTTACCAGAAAAAGTGCAGAAAAAGTTTGGGAAAATTTCATATTATTTTGATGACCTTTCACTGATTTTATTCACCTAGCCCATAAAACAGTTGGGGGTAGGTATGAACCATGAAACAAAGTCTTTACCGACCTTTCTTGAAATAGCTATATAAATTGTTTTATAATGAAGTAGATGCCTTACCTCGAATAGCAAGTCATCGGAAGATCTCTCAGCATACATGGACTGTAGTCTGTATTGCTTGTCTCGCAGGACGTCTATCTTGTAACCGGTTAACGCATAACAAGCCTCGCGAAACTCTTGGATCTTTTTGGAAAATACCTTGAAAAAATCAATAGGAATTCTTTAGTACATCAAGAATGTGTACAACCAATCACGAAGGAAGTTGAATCTTAGAAATTAGTCCAATTAGAAAGCCCGTGATATATAGTATCGACAAATCAAACAGACCGATATATCTTAGCAGTAAGATCAATCAGAAAGTAGTTCATAACTTAAAACAATAATCAAAAATCGTTGTACATCTTAACCATTCTTTTTACCTCTTTCAGACGTTGGTTTCTTAGTTCTGAAGACGAGAGTTGCGCCTTGACTTCTGAGGAAGCAAGGAAACAATCCAAAATTAACAATAAAAATGGAATTCTTCATTAATTTTGTTCTTTCCATTTCCACTATTAGTTCCTGAAATAAATTTAAAGACTTAGTTCCCGAAAATCATATATATTGTATTTGGGTGCTTTCCATTTGCCAGGAAAAAACAGGAAAATCCGGTTGAAAAACAAATGGTATGTATCCTTCCGATCGCAAATTTAAGGAAAACTAGGTCTTCCGATTGAGGTAATCCACTTTTCCCGCTCTTTTTGGTTCACCGGTAGACGCGCGTACCATTTTTTGGAAGCAAACGTTTCCCGCTCTTTTCGGTTCTTTTGGTAGACGCGTGTACCATTTTTCGAGATTCAAAGTTTCCCGCTCTTTTCTTACCAATAGCGAATTAATTTTCAACCGGATGGATTGGTTTAAATAGTAAGGATGTCAATGGTAAGCACCTTTGTTTCCATTAGCTCGTGAATGTGTATTTTACGCATACAAATATCAAAGGGCGCAGCCGGAGTTTTGGACAAGGCGCGTCCCTGTGAGAAATGAAATGTAACATTCCGAATGCTACACACTACCCATAATGTATTGCTTACTCCAGCCAGTAACTGGCTGCTTTCTTAGGCTCGGATCTGGAGGTCCTAGAAAGCCTTAACCTTAAAGTTCATGGCACCTCTCTGAGACACCGACTAAACTGTACCTTCTACTTGCTTAGTTGTACTGGCACTTATCTCTGGACTGGTCTGTAGGCTATCAGCTGCTGTGCTACTAGAAGCCGGCAATTTCCCACCTTCCAGGGCTTGGATTTTCAGCCGAAGAGAATCATTTTCTTTGCGTAGTTTTTCTATTTCTTCGACTTTTTTCTGTCGAGCAAAACTCGTTGGGTTCATCGAGAAATGAAGGACCTTGGTCTTCGTAGGGTCGTAATATCCCTGTGGAAACAAGAAAAAGATTTTTTCTTATATTACATTTTATTGGTCACAGACAAACTTACTCAATTTTCTGGGTTTTTTTCTCCGTTCTTTTTTCCCTCCAAAAAAATTCCCATTTCCAAAGTTCTCGTAAAAATGTGTCATCACTTTCAAATGGCTTTTCTCTTAACCAATCCAAGAGCGAGGAAAAGAAGAACGCTCTTTAGCTTCCAATCACAATGCAGGTATTTGGAAGCCACTTGAGTGTCGCGTTGCCATGATACGCCTTCCACTTTGCGGTCAAAAGCGACGCAAAATATCAACATTTTCCATTGCATTTCTTTTTATTCTTTTCCCTTTTATTCTACCTGTATGTGCATTTGTTCTTTCCGTAGTTCATATATTTCCAGTTGTTCAGCAAGTTTCATATTTTCTTCTTTAAGTCGTTTTATTTCTGCTTTGGCTTCGTTATCTGTGGCGGTTGATACAGTCGACCTGCTGGCACATTTTGATTTCTCCTCCTTTAACTGTCTTTCCAACTGAATAAAATTAACGACAAAATCATTCAACAGTTGTTCGAAATATTGCAATTACATTTGTTTCCTTTTGTTCACTGTTAAGATAAATGTCATCCCATTTCAGACCACGTGTCATTCCCTTGAGAAACGATTCGTTGTTTCAGTTGTATCCATATTCATGTGTCTTCTTATGCACAACCGTTAAACAAAGAACTAATACTCTAGAGAATGACATGTGGTCTGAGATGGGCAAAACATTACGCTCAAGGAAAAGAGGACTATAACACCATAGTACAATTGTTAAACAAAAAAATGAGCTTAAGGGGATGACACATGGTCTGAAATGGAAAAACATTGTGCCCACGGTAAATAGGTCAATTAGTATTGGAAAAGCAGTATTATCGGATTGTGCGAAATGAACGTGCAAAGGCAGTCAAGTCTGCCACTAACCTCTAAGATTATCGTCTTTTGAGAAGCAAGCTGATCCTTTGCTTGACTTATTTCACTCTAAAATGCAATGAAGATGTTATATAATGTAATGTTAGCCCATATCATATCTATCATCATCAATATTATCACCATCACTGTCATTTTTATTTTTCTCATTTACTGCCATCATGATGCTCATTGTTATAAATATTAACAAACTGGTTGTCATCATCATCATCGCCGTCATCATTATCGTCATCACAATCACCATCGTCATTCTCATTATCATCACCATACTCGTCATTATCACCATCATACAACACCATTGTCATCATCATCATTATCATCATCATTATTATCATAATCACCATCATTGTCATCACCATCATCAGTCATCATCACCATTATTATCATAATCACCATCATTGTCATCACCATCATCAGTCATCATCACCATTATTATCATAATCGCCATCATTTATCACAATCATCATCACCATTAGTCATCATCGCTGTTACCATCATAATCATCATCAGTATTTATTCATTATTTAATTAATATCAATGTCTTTTTCAAATAGCATGTCTGCATGAGATGGAATACCAAAATAAAATACATATAAAAAGATGCATACTTCAACGGCTTCAACATGTTTGCTATAAGAAGCCAGTCTTTCCTCTGCCTATAAAATAAATAACAATATTTATACATGTACATTATATTTTCATATTTATTTATTTATTTCATTGGCCCACAAGATGATGGTAGACAGATCACTAACAATGAGGGAAGAGAAACGAGGTTCTGTAAAAACAAAAGACCACCGAGCTACGATTTAGATTCTTTTGACTAGAATATTCTAGGTGAACTATTACACCTTATTTCATCACTATGAAACCAAGTCATCCCCAGACAGCTGGGTTCTTTGCTTCTGTCAATCAAACTGTCTAGGTTAGTAATTTTGATTGACAGAAGCAAAAATTCCAGATGTGTTGCACTAGCTTGCACTGAGTTGGTCTCACAATTATAAAAATGGGTGCAAATGAAATTTGTACCCCATTTTCTTCAATGTTACCTCCTGCACACGATCCCGCAGCTGTGAGTCATAGTTTGCAGACAAGTTGTTATCAAACACATTGAGGATACGACGGAAGCCATCTCTTTCCTGGTGGAAAATAAACCATAATTACAAGAAGAACTCAGGAATGGGATTGCATGTGACTAAGATGTCTTGAATGAATTGGATGTGACTGGAATGGATTGGATGGGACTGGAATGGATTGGAAGGCACTGGAATGGATTGGAAGGCACTGGAATGGATCGGAAGGGATTGGAATGGATCGGAAGGGATTGCAATGGCTTGGAAGGGATTGCAATGGCTTGGAAAGGACTGAAATGGATTGGAGGGCACTGGAATGGATTGGAAGGCACTGGAATGGATTGGAAGGCACTGGAATGGATTGGAAGGCACTGGAATGGATTGGAAGGCACTGGAATGGAT